TGTCGTTTCCTGACTTGTTAATTTTAGCCATTCTGACTGGTGTGAGGTGGTATCTCATTGAGGTTTTGATTTGGATTTCCCTGATGCTGAGTGATGTTGAGCACTTTTTCCATTTGGCCATTTGGATGTCTTCTTTGGCAAAATTTGACTTTGTGTTTCTTTATTTGGTTTACTGAACTTGCTAAGACCTGCCTGACATAAGAGTTGTCTCCCAAATGTGTCACAGTGCTCATGTCCTACATGTAGCCTAAGTTCTACTAGGTTTCAACACCTAACAGATCACCTCTACCCAAATTTCCTGACCAGGTAGGAAGAGGGAGGTAAATTACAGACCCCATGGTTGGGCTAGCTGGCTGCTGAGACATATCCCATAGGGCTTGATAGTATGAATACTTATACAAAAACTAGCTAGCTCCCATTCATTAAGACTTGATAGCATTAATACTAACACAAATGGTGGTCATTCTGTGCTTTGCATTTCTCAATCTCCTACACACACACATCATCTTGTGCAATCAACACCCTTAGGCAGAAAATACTGTTATCTTCAGAGAGGCAAGTCACTTGCTGGAGGTGGTAGGTCAGAACCAAAATTCCTGTTTAATTTGGCCTGCTCCCAAATCCTGTGATACACAGCTCTCTCCCCAGCTGCCTGGAAACCAAACCTAGGGACGGTTGCTGCAGCTCCTCACAATTACTCCAGTTTCAACAGAGAGCACAGGATGGTCAGGGATGGAAATGCACCCCTCTCTGCCTGGGTTTACTGCCCTTACTAGTACTACTTCTTCTTCTTCTCCTTCTTCTTCTTCTCCTCCTCCTCCTCCTCCTCCTCCTCCTCCTCCTTCTTCTTCTTCTTCTCCTTCTTTAAATTTAAATTCAATCAGCCAACTAACAACATTGTTAGTTTTTGATGCAATGCTCAATAATTCATTAGCTGCATATAACACCCCATGCTTACCACATCACTGCCCTTATTTCTAAAGAGGATGTCTGAGCAGAAACAGCCCCTACTTGCCTCACAGCCTCCCCTCCTTTGTTTCCCAATTAATCACATGAGTCATAACCCAAAAGGGGCTTCTTTTCTAAAACTGTCCACCAGTCTCCAAAGTGGCCCACCCCCAGAACAGGATCCGTGTCTCTAGTGGGACCCAGGATGAATGAATAGGGTCTTATTATTTGGAGTTTTAGTCAGTGAGCAAAGCAATTGCCATTTACTCTTGAGCAAGTTCTGCACTATTGTAACTCTTTGGTAAGTAAAGTACAAGAAGGAACATGTCCTGTCCTGCCAAGGACTTCAGAAGGAACATACCTAACTCTGAGCCAAAAAAGGAAATAAACTGTGAACATTGTAGGAAGAGTGCGGAAAGAATGGAACAAGGTTCACCCTCTTTTATATAAGAAGTTCAAAAGTTTTAATCATGAGAAAGCCATGGAAAGGACAGTGTTCAAAGATAATTATTGATCTTAACATAACACTTCCTCAAATGTGTAACAGTATGTTTTGAGGAAGGGTTTAGAAAATAACTTCTTCCGTTTATGTATGTTTAAAAAGTGTCAGGGAACCCTTATTAGAAGATGCTGGTCTAGACCCTTGCTACTCAGTTTGGTCCAGAAACCAGTAGCACTAGTGTCACCTGGGAGCTTATTAGACTCTCAGACCCAACCCCAGAACTGCCGAATTAGAATCTGCATTTGCACAAGATCCCTGGATGATGTCTATGCAATAGTCTAGATTGGTAAATGGTAATAGCAGCTAGCCTGGTAGTGCTGTGTTTGTTCCCAGGTGAAGTGTGGGGGTGGGGGTAGGAGGCGTAAAGTGATCCTCAGGTGGGAGGATTTAGACGGGGAGAAGTGATTGGGAGGGCAAGGCAAGCAGGTGGAATATATGTACAATATACAGTCGACCTTTGAGCAATGTGAGGATTATGGGCACTGACTCCTTGCACTGTTGAAAATCCACATATGTATAACTTTTGACTCCCCCAAAACATAGCTATTAATAGCCTACAGTTGACTGGAAGCCTTACTGAGAATATAAAGCCAATTAACACATATTTTGTATGTGTGTGTTAATATACTGCATTCCTAAAATAAAGGAAGCCAGAGAAAAGAAAATATTACTAAGAAAGTCATAAGCAAGAGAAAATACATTTACAGTACTGTTCTATAGTATATTTACTATATTGTACTGTATATTACTATATTTACTGTACTATACTATATTTATTGGGAAAAGCCCACATATCCATGGACTAAAGCATTTTCAACCTGAGATATTCAAGGGTCAACTGTGTGTGTATACGTACATACGTACACATATACATATAAACATACATATCTAAATGTACATATAATTTCAGTGATATTATGGCTAGAAGAAAGCTATCAATTTGCCTTCTTAAACACAGGCTATTGAATGTTAGAAGTATTATCCAAATTTTTTTTTATTAAAGATTTTAATTTATTTATTTGTCAGAGAGAGAGAAAGAGAGCACAAGCAGGGGGAGCAGCAGAGGGAGAGGGAGAAGCAGGCTCCTCACTGAGCAAGGAGCCTGATGTGGGACTTGATCCCAGGACCCCGGGATCATGGCCTGAGCTGAAGGCAGATGCTTAACGACTGAGCCATCCAGGCGTCCCACATTATCCAAATGTTAAAGTTATTGTTAGAATCAGTATTCAACTCACACCAACATCAACACAGCAGTAACCTCCCTGACTATCTATATAATAAATCAGTGGGAATCTACATTCCTGCCCATCTACATCCTGCTGTTGAAAGCAGCAGAGCTTGACTTGGAACCTGAGGTTCTGGATTATGCTTCAAAGCTCACTGGTGACCACACACAAGGAGGAGAGTTAAAAGTGAATGACTGTAGAAGAACAAGGAGACCTTATATATACAAATGACAGCTGTCACCAGTCTGGCCAGGAATGACGACAAGGAAGTTTGGAAATTCCCATAATTTTCACCACTCACTGGATCCAGGACCAGCCCACACCAATGATAACACCAGAGTGTCTTCATGTTGTCCCGGCTGTTAAGTAGGCTATTAAAAAAAAGAAGAAGGGGGCGGTGACTCATATATTAAGGGTCTGCCTTTGGCTCAGGTCATGATCCCAGGGATTGAGCCCCACGTGGGGCTCTCTGCTCAGAGCAGAGTCTGCTCCAGATTCTCTCCCTCTCTCTCTGCCCCTCCCCCTGCTCTCTCTCTTTCTGTGTCTCTAAAATAAATAAATAAAATAAACATAAGCTCCATACATCAAGAGCTGGCTCCTCATTTTCCTACCCCTCCACATTGCTCAGTTACTTGGTGCTGCACAAGAAACTACCCCAAACTTAGTGGTTTAATATAACAAGTTATTATTTCTCATGATTCTGTGATTTGCCTGGGCTTTTCTGGGCAGCCCCGCTCTCCAGTACAGCTTTTTCATAATAGAGTTGACAGTGGATCTCCACTTGTCCTTTTGTAGTGCTTTTCCTCTTTAGGTGTTCCAGATTTTAGAGTCAAAGACAACATCACCCACATAGGACTGTGTCCCTGTAATTGCCTTTACTGAAAAATAGTGAGTGACTAGAAGAAAACTCAATGTAGGAAGAAAAAAACCTTAAAATATGCTAATTACAATTTTTCCCACATTACAGATTTTTTTTAAAGATTTTATTTATTTATTTGACAGAGGGAGAGAGAGCATAAGTAGGCAGAGGGGCAGGCAGAGCGAGAGGGAGAAGGAGGCTCTTTGCTGAGCAGGGAGCCCGATGTGGGGCTCAATCCCAGGACCCTGGGATCATGAGATGAGCCGAAGGCAGACGCTTAACGTCTGAGCCACCCAGGCGTCCCTCCACATTACAGATTTTAAAAAAATATTTAAGCCCTTCCCTGGACACAACCCATTTCTCTGCCTTGGTGTCCACTCACTTCTTAGGAAAAAGAGGAAGAGTTTCTTTAGTATCTCCCAATACAAATTG